TTACCCCCCTTAGTTTGGAAAGGCAACCCAAGGGGGCCGAGCCATTAGGGCATCGATCAAGAATAACGCCTTGGGGTTGTGATGCGGGTAACATGATATTCAGGAGAGTTCTGTTTAAAGTCATTCATTTTTCTGTTTTCCAATCCAACCTCCATGCTTTATGCACCTGGAAAGGCAGTAGATGGTGGCACAAGTATCTAGGCTCCTGCCACTTATGTGAGAGACCTGGAGGGAGATCCAGGATACTGGCTTTGGCCCAGCTCAGGCCCTGGACATGGAGGTTATTTGGGGAATGAGGCCAGCAGATTGAGGACCTCATTCCTTGTAGAGCTTCTCCATCAGTCTGCCCTTTTACCTGTGAACAATTTCATTTTATTTTTTTGATAGGCCGGTGGATAGAGAGAAAGACAGAAAGAAAGATCTTCCTTTACCGAGCCCTCACGCTCCAATGACCAATGGGGCCAGTGATGGGTGGCCGGCGCTCCGCACCCATCTCCAGCTGGGAGCCAGCTGCTTCTCGTGGCAGGGCGTAAGGATTTGGACCATCCTCCACTGCATTCCCAGGCCACAGCAGACCGGATATGGGGGTTTGGGGTGTAAAGGGGGAGGGGGAGAAAGGTTCCCTGGGGTATCTAGAACCGGGAGCCGCTTGGCGAGTCTGGCCCCCAGCCCCCTTCAGAACTTTCCCAACTTTCCCCCAGAAAGCCCCCGGGGGCTGCTCCCGGCTCGCAGGTCAGCGATACCCAGGCCTCGACTCTAGGTTCCTGGGAGACCCTGGCGTCCGGGCCCCTAACAACTCCTGCAGAACCTTTGACCAAATAAGGGCAAAGTTGCCTCTCCTGCCTCGCCCGCCCCCTCCCTTCCCCTCTCCGCTTCTGCTTTTCCTGACGGAGAGTTCTGAGCATCCAAAGGCTCCCCGCTCTGCTCGCCGCCTTCTGGCCCTTTTTATTCCCTGGGTCTGCTCTCCGCATTCAGCCACTGCGCTCTGAGCCTCCAGGGGACCGTGGCATCCCTTCCTCCTGGTCCCGGTGGCTGGGTCTGAGGGCCATCTGTCTGCACCAGCTGGAGTTCCTCCTGAGAGTCTCACTGAGGGGATGGAAGCACAGAACACCTCATCCTTTCCCCAGCCCGGGTTCCAGCTCCCACAGGGGTCGAGGGCACGTGGGCTCACAACAGGGTGGGAACCTTGGGGCACTGACTTAATGGGTGCTTGGTTCCCCCTTGCAGCCGGCTGAGGTCGGTGTCCTGGTTGGCAAAGACCGGTCAAGTTTTTTCGTGAACGGGCTGACACTTGGGGGCCAGAAATGTTCTGTGATCCGGGACTCGCTGCTACAGGACGGGGAATTCACCATGGATCTTCGCACCAAGAGCACCGGCGGAGCACCCACCTTCAACGTCACCGTCACCATGACTGCCAAGAGTGAGTGGAGTCTTACTCCTTTTAGCTCTGAGATCCTTAGCGTGCCCCCCTTCTGCTAGTCCTGTGGGTTCTTTCTCTGTGTGGTTCCCCTGCATGAAAGGGTCAGACCGGGGTTCTCCCAGTGTGCTGGGACACTGGTTAGTCCCCACCCGTTCTGCCTCAGTTCCTCATCGGATACAAAGTTGAACTGCAGTACCTCTTAGGTTCCTCCCTCTCTTGAGCTGTTCACACTAGAACCTAGAACCGTGTGTAAGAGTGTGTAGATTGTTGGTCTTCAGCCAGCATTTAGCTTTCACCTTTTGGGTTCTTTCGTTTAAAAAGTTTATGAAGTGGCAGGCTCATACACAGCCATTTGTAGCTTGAACACAGCCTGCAGCCTGAGCCTCAGACCCCTAAATTTGGGTCTGTTCCTCTCCAACATTTAAGCACACCCCCTCCCTTGAAAAGCCCTATTGTTTCAGGGTGACTGACAGCCTGCCTGTGTGTGGGGGGTTGGGAGGGTGAGGTTGGGTTACAGCCTCCAGGGCTGGACAGCTGCTGAACAGCTGGCAGGGTGGGCTGACACCTGGGTCCTGGCCTCCTTTCTCTTCTCCAGCGCTAGTCCTACTGATGGGCAAAGAAGGTGTCCATGGCGGTTTGATCAACAAGAAATGCTATGAAATGGCCTCCCACCTGCGGCGTTCCCAGTACTGACCTCGTCTGCCCCTTCCCCTCCACCGCTCCCCACAGCTTTCGCACCCCTCTCCTTCCCAAATACACACATACACCATTTTTATTTTTTGGGCCATTATCCCACATCCCTTATTGCTGCCAAAACCACATGGGCTGGGGGCCGGGGCTGGATGGACAGATACCTCCCCCTACCCATACCCCTCCTGTGTGTGATTGGAAAACATTTTTTGTTTTTTGGGGTTTTTTTTTTCTGAATAAAAAAGATTCTACTAACAAGGTGCTGTGTGATTTTGAGCATGGGTGTTAGGATGAGGGATAGGCACTGTCTTGCCTCTTTCTCTGGGCTTGGGGAGAGGGTGAAGCACCGGAACCCCAGACTGGGACGAGACTCTGCCTCAGGTCTGCCTGCCTAGCCCTTCCACGGCCTCGGTTCTCAGGCACGCTAGTGGAACTGGTGGGTGACAGAACAGAGCCGTCCAGACGGAGAATGGGTCCAAGCCTGCGGGTAAGGCAGGGCCAGTTGAGTCATCCTCATGTGGGTGGGGCTCCCCCTCTGAGTCACAGCAGATGCCTGCTGGGGCTGTCCCTATGACTACAGGTTACTCCTCCCAGGCTCCCTGCCCCCTTCACAGTTCACCTCTGCGACAATAATCTATCCTTGGTCCACAAAAACAATTTTATTAACCCAAGAAGTGAAGATCCAGTCCCCTCGCCCCTACCCCCTCAAAGGATGAGGCTGGGTAAGGGAGAAACCCGGAATGGAGAAGTCCCCTGTCCCTCAATTTAGAAGAGCAGAGGGAACAGGGCCTGTGCAAATAGGTCGCCAGAGGTTTGGGAGGGGGAAAGACTAGACCAGGATGGCGGGCAAGGAGGAAGAGGAGGAGGGAGACGGTGGGGCATCTGTTGAGGGCCCAGGAAAAATGAGGGGAGCTGGAGCTAGGGAACCAAAGGAGGTGGGCAGAGTAGGGCTGGAGCCCAGGAGCGGGGTCCGCTCTGAGGCAGGGTGATCTCTTGGCTCCCCTTCCTCATCGCCCTCCTCTTGCCCTTGAGTTTCTTCCTCCTGCTCTTCATCTCCAGGACCCCGATGCACAGGCTGCTTGCAGATGGGGCACGTCTTCCGCGTCTGAGTGAGCCAGGGGTCCACACAGCGGCTGTGATAGGCTGTAGAGGGGAAATGAGGTGAAGTGGCTGGTGCCTGCTGCCTACGGGCTGACCATGTGGACACGGGCAGTGATGGCCTTACCATGAGCACAGGGGAGTACCCGCAGCTTGTCCCCGTCCTCATATTCATCCAAACAGATGGCACACACATCATACTGGTCTCCTGGAGGGAGAGAGACCTAGTGCTGAACAGTGATTCTGAACCGTGGCTCACAAGAACACACGCTGGGGGGTCTGGCAGAGCTGAGCCCCGAGCAGGCAGGGGGAGGCCAGTCGGGGTTAGAGAGGACAAGCAGAGAAGCAGAGGTAAGGGAAGTGGGTTTGAGGGAGGAGGTGGGGGGGGGGTAGGAGGAGCGGAAATGGGGCCGGGCTTCTGTTATGGCCTTATATGGGCACTGGAGGCTCCAGGGCCAGGAGACCCGGCCTCTCCTTACCTGGTTCTTCGTTCCCTGACTGCATCTTCTCCACTCCCATATTTCTGCCCTCTGCACCTCCTCCCTCATAAGCAAAGTCCATTCCTGCATTATCTCCCCAGCTGCCTCACTCCAGCACCTTTTCGTCCCATCTCCCGTCCCCACTGATTTTCTGGGTAAAGAGAAAGGTGGCACCTCCAGTTGAGGCCCTCTCACTGCCATCTTTTTCACTCCTCATCGCCCACGTCAAACTCAGAACCAGGTAAGCTCTGAAAATGGCTCTCCTCTCCCCTCGGCCCTTACCCTTCTGATAATCATGCGTAGGAATCTGTCTCAGCTGCTCTTTGGTGAGTCGATTTCGCTGGAGCCGTTTCCGGTGCTGGATACAACGAACTATCTGGGGGAAGGGAGGTGGACGGATCAGACTCAGAAGAAAACCGGACAAGTGTGAACTCTGCCTCCAGTTCCAATCTGGGTTCCTAAGTCCAGCTCTTCCTATCATGTCCCCTGAGCTACTCACCATCACCGCTCCCATGGCCAAAACCAGCAGTCCCACAATCCCGGTGAACGGGATGAGGTAATAGCCCAGAGGGAAGCTGTTGTCTGGAACCAGAAGCACCCGAGCCCTAGGGAAGGGACAACAGTGTCACAGGGGCAAGAAAGGCCGGAGGACAAAGCACACAGGACAGAGTAACTGGTGCTGCGGCCACGGGGCGGGGCGGGGCAGGAGTGACCTGAGCTGAGTGCTGGGGGCCAGGAGGAGAGGGAGGGAGGCGCGTGTCCTACCCCTTCTCATAGACAAAGAGGGCGCGCAGGTACTCGGAGCTCCTCTCCCCGATGAACACTGACGGGATCCAGATCTGCTGCTGGATTTCCTCTGCAAGGAGCACGCTGTTGGGGGGGCTCACCCTCCACTTCTCAGGCCCTCGGGGAGCCCTGCCGGCTGACGCGTCTGTCCCCTCCCACCCAAAATACTGGCTGCTTTGGCCTGAGCCGTCAGCCCTCCCACCAGCTCTGTCAGCTCTCCGACAAACCCCGCCTCGCAGAGCCACCCACTTACCACTGTTCCACACCATGTTCAGAAGTTCGTTGGAATTCACGTTGTGCACCACGGCTGCCCCGTACCCGGCCTTCTGTGCATTCAGGACCTAGCGAAACAAGGCAGGGGTAGGGAGCCATCATGGGCCTTGCCTTGCTTCATTTCTGGTCCACTCTTTTTCACCCTTAGCTTCCCAGCTCCCACTCCACGTTCAGCAACCTTGAGGTCAAAGTTGCAGTCGAATCTTCGAAGCAGTGCAATAAAGACTGACCCATTGACCGGGGCTGGGGGTGGTGGGGCAATGGGGCTGCAGGCATTGTCTGGGTGAGCCTCCACAAGGAACCCCTGCGGGAGAGAGGCAGATGACAGTTAGGTTTCTCCTCTCTAGGTTCTGGCCCCCCCATACCACACAGCCTCTGTCCTCACTTCCTTCTCACTCCTGGGTCTCGGCACCCCACCCAAACCAGAGTCTGTCTCCTCCCTCAGCCTCCTGAAAGTGCAGCCACATCAAACAGCTGCCTCTCCCGTCCCAGGTCGCCTGCCTGCACGCCATACCTACACTGACGCAGTCCCGCAGATTCAGCTTCCCCACAGATTGTAATTCCATTCTCTACGCAGCCACGTTTTCCTAAATTGTTTTACATTCGCAGCTCCAGTCCACACTGCCCTCCCTTCAGTCAGTTTCCCAACTACCCATCTACACCCAAATCTGCAGCCCACCGAGAGCTGCTATGTGGCAGCCCTGGCAATAAAGTCCTGCAACGCCGCTTATCCAATTGTCACTAATTTAACTTATCTAATTGTAATCACGGTAACTCTGAAGTAACTTCCATGATCACCCCACTTCGCAGTAATCAAAGGCTCAGAGAGATGATATCGAAGGTCATGCGACCAATAGCTGGCTGGGGACCCTACTGCTGAGCGCCAGTCATCGCCTTTGCAGTCTCCGGGTAAGCCCAGAGTGGAGAGTGGGCACTGTCTTCTTCCCCTAGATTCTGGATTCCACGCATGTTCACGCACTTCGATCCTAACCGGACTCTAACTATCCCCAGCCAGACCCGGGGCATGGCTCCTCAACCCCGCCCAGGATGGAGGATTTGGACAAAGAGGGGAGGGGAAAAAAAAAAAAAAAAGAACGCCAATCACCTGGAGTCCCTCCTGGCTCAGGGAGGCCCCAAACAGAGCTGGCAGGTCTGCAAAGTCCATGCTGGCATTGTGCTCCGAGGTCTGGGGGCACAAAACGTCCACGTTCCCCTCCGGCCCGCAACGCCCCCCTCCGGCGCCCTTCCTCCACCCGCCCCACAGACTCACCGCTCGGATGAGGCCCCGGATGGGGGCTGCTCCCCACAGCACGGCGGCCACAACCACAGGAAGCGGGAAGGCCGCGCGGTGCATGGCAGCGGGCGGGGAGAGGCCGAGGAGGCCGCGGCCCGGGAGCAGAAGCAGAAGCGGGGCTCTGCGCCCTCCCCGCCGCTCCCTCAGGATCCCAGGGGTCCAACCACCCCCAGGTCCCACTTCCCAGCTACATGGGGGCGCCGGGGAAGGAACCCCGACCCGGGGAGCGAGGCCCCAAGCCCGTTTAGCGGAGCTGGGTCGGAGACTCTAAATGGACCCTTTTCTGGATTGGGGACAAAACGGGGAGAGGGGACGGAAGGAAACACAGGTGACAGCAAAACTTCTGGAAGGGTGGGGGAGCCCCGGGAGGTGGGACTTCCGGCCAGGTGGGCCGTCTTCCTATCCCTGGGAAAAAGGTTTCCGACAAAGAGTCAGGCCGCTTCCAGCATTGGCCGCTCAAGATGAAGGACTTCCGGTCCTGAAAGGCCGGTTAAGAGAAAAATTAGAGATGGAGGGATTGTCTGTGGAAACGGAGGGCGCACGGCTGCCCCCCAGAAGAAGAGCGAATCATTTCCCCCTTAGTGCCCGGGAACCTGGGGCTTCCCTGTTTACAAACCTCTCCGCTCCCTGTGGCCGCCGCTGCCGCCGCACCTGCAAGTCTCGCGAGAAGGCTTACCAGCCCACTCCCCCGCCCCCACGGCTGCCGAAAGCTTGCTCTACATATCGCGAGAGCCCTCCTAACTCTGGGAGCCGGACTGACTAGATCTCGCGAGACCTCGAACAGCTTGTCTAGTTTCCCGCGATTCCAAGTCGGTGAAGACTGTGCCTATACGCCAGTTTCCAACCAAGCCACGCCCCTTCCCGCACGCAGCCTTTAAGCTCCTCCTTCAGGGTCGCCTTACTCCCGGCGGCCTTTGCGCTTTGCGCCTGCGCGGGCGCCGGCTTGCAGCTGGTGCTGGACCTGGGAGCCGGAGGGGCGTGCGCGCGCGCCCTCGCCCTGTTGCGCGCGCGGTGTCACCTTGGGCGCGAGCGGGGCCGCGCGCTCTCGGGACCCGGAGCCAGGGCCATTGAGTGGCGATGGCGGCGACGGCGAGTCCCGGGGCCGGCGGGATGGACGGGAAGCCCCGTACCTCCCCTAAGTCCGTCAAGTTCCTGTTTGGGGGCCTGGCCGGGTAAGCTCAGGCCCCAGGGATGGGAAAGGAGGAGGAAGGGACGGACGGGCCCGGTTCATCTCTGGGACTGTTTCAGTGAACTGAGCCTGCTTGAGGGTCAGCGCGATCCCCAGCGTGTTGGGAGGTTCCTGATGGGCTGCCCCTGACTGCATGCAG